TCTGGGGTGATGGTGAATCCTCCTCACCAGATCTTGGTCACTCGTGGTGGAGCTTTGATGGAGCTCATACAAACAGCCCAGGCTGTGAGCCCCAGGGGTGCCACTCGGGGGGCTGGGCTGGGTCCGGGGGAGATGACACTCCCAGGATGCTGGCAGGGGGTTCTGCCTCTTTCCATCCCGTTCCTGAGCTCCTGGGCTGGCTCTGCTGCTGCTGTGACGTTTCCCCGTTTTCCAGGCCAGCCTGCGCACGCCCGAGCTCACCTGGGAGCGCGTCAGGTCCCAGGTGGATCACGTCATCTGGCCCGACGGCAAGAGGATCGTGCTGCTGGCAGAGGTGAGAGCAGCAGGAACTGCAGCTGAGGGGTCCCTGTGCCTCCTGGAATTTGGCTCAGGGAATCGTGGAATCGCAGATTTAGGTTGGAAAATGCCTCGGAGTCCATCAAGTCCAACCGTTCCCAGCGCTGCCATTGCCACCACTGCCCCACGTCCCCAAGTGCCAAATCCACAGGGCTTTGAAATCCCTCCAGGGATGGGGACTGCATCCCTGCCCTGAGCAGCTGTGCCAGGGCTGGACAAACCTTTCCATGAAGGAATTTCCCCAAAATCCCCCCTGAGGATCTCCTGGCCCAGCCTGAGACCGTTCCCTCTGCTCCTGTCCCTGTTCCCTGGAGCACAGCCTGACCCCCCGGCTGTCCCCTCCTGGCAGGGACTTGTGCAGAGCCACAAGGTCCCCTCTGGGTTCCTGGGATGAAGAAAAACCCCTTGTTTTAACTCATCCCGCTCCAGGGTATCTCCCACTGGGAGATTCCCACTTCCCAAGGGCAGCCCCACCTTGGGGCTCGCTGCAGGTGACAAACAGCTGGGACACCTTGCTCCAGCGGTCCCTGTCCCTCCTGTGGGGTTACAAACCAGATTTGGTGCCCTGTTAACGACCAGATTCTGCTCCCCAGGGCCGCCTGCTGAACCTGAGCTGCTCCACCGTGCCCACCTTCGTCCTGTCCATCACGGCCACCACCCAGGTGAGGGGGGCCTGGGCTGGGCCGGGGGCAGGCCCCGCTCTGGGGGACAGCAGCCCCTGACCCCGGTGTCCTCCCCGCAGGCCCTGGCTCTGATAGAGCTGTACAACGCTCCCGAGGGCCGCTACAAGCAGGACGTGTACTTGCTGCCTAAAAAAATGGGTAACCATGTTCCTGCTGCCTTCTCCTC